TTGATACACAATTAAATAATAGTTCTCATTTGTTCTGTGCTTATATACCAGGATCCAGGCCAACCCCTTTACCCCCATTTCCTCATTCAATCAATCCCATGAGGTAGGTACGAGGATTATGCCCATTTCTCAGATGGAGAAGCTGAGGCTGTTACTGTGGTGCTAACTTAGGAGAGGCGAGCAAGTGATAGAGACAGGTGTAGACAGAGGCAGCCTGTCTCTGAGCTTCAACAGTTCTATAGATCATCTGGAGGTCAACTGGAGAACGTGAGAAATTAAGCAATTGTCTTTTTTTTTTTAAAGGACCAAGTTTTGAAATGATTTTTTAAAAAACGTTTGGGGGGAGGGAATTCTTTGAGGAAAAAATACTGCTTCCGGAAAAACCTTAAAAAAAAAAAAGGAAACATTTACCCTTCCTGAAAATCCATGTCAAATTGCTATATTTTGATTTTTCTATCACTTCTTCCACGATTTTCTCAAATTTGCTCTCTGCTCCCTAGCGTTCCCTGCAGTTTGGGATGTTAAAGCATCTTCTGCAATGTCTACGTCTTTGCGAAGGACAACAGTGACCTCCAGTGGGCATTTTCTCAAAAATCCTGTTTTTCCTGCTAACAGCTGATACAGCTGGTAAAAATCCCCCATAATCCCAGCTCCCAGCCATGCAAAAGGCTCGTCTGCCTCTGCAGCAGTGGCCACAGAAAAAAAGGCCAACGTTTCACACCCCCATTCCTGGCTACCCGAAGCGTGGTCCAGAGGTCACCAGCAAGGGCATCACCTTGGGAGGGTTGAAATACCCCAGACCTACAGAATCAGCATCTGCACTTCAACAAAATCCCCAGGTGATTTAGGCACGTTAAAGGGTGACAACCCCCTAGTTTTAAATTATTTGCATCTGATAATATGGATACACATAAATTCCATTACCAGTTTTGAAATTAATTTCCTTATACTGGAAATGCCAAAATCTACTAAATGCTTCTTGTCAGCTTTTTTAATTCTCAAGTGATTTTTTAATTACTAATGACATAATCCAGCCACACAGGTTTTTCTCCCACAATCACAATATATCCTCCTCCCCAAAAAAGTGCTAAAACAATGTAGAAATTGTGACTCCAAAGAGTAGTTTTTTTTTTTTTTTAAGATTTTACTTTTTTTCTTTTTGTCCCCAAAGCCCCCCGGTACATAGTTGTGTATTTTTAGTTGTGGGTCCTTCTAGTTGTGGCACGTGGGACGCTGCCTCAGCATGGCTTGGTGAGCAGTGCCATGTCCACACCCAGGATTCGAACTGGTGAAACCCTGGACCGCCAAAGCAGAGTGCACGTGAGCTTAACCACTAGGCCACGGGGCCGGCCCCCAAAGAGTAGTATTTTAAAAGGTGCTATTACCACAGGGCTGGACAGGAAATGTGATCCATGATGTACCAGACATCTCGCATGTTAGGCCAGGCCGAAATATATCAGACATGACAAAAAAGTGTGACAAGAGGGAGCCTGGAGGGACGCATGACAATGCAGCGGGACCTGGGGAGCCCCGCAACCCACAAACCTCAGCCCGGGAGCCAGACTGGAGGAGGTCCAGCTGACAGTCAGAATTAAAATCACTGGCTCTGGGGGGGCTGGGCCCACAGCCTAGTGGTTAAGTTTGGTGTGCTCCACTTCAGCAGCCTGGGTTCCTGGCTTCAGATCCAGGGCACGGACCTATACTATTCGTCAGCCATGCTGTGGTGGTGACCCACATACAAAATAGAGGAAGACTGACACAGATGTTAGCTCAGGGCCAATCTTCCTCAGCAAAAATAAATAAATAAATAAATAATATATATATATATTGCAAGCTCTAGGCTCCAACTCAGCTCTCCTTACTGGCTGTAAGACTTTAAATGGCTTCATCTCTCTGCCTCCATTTCCTCATCTGAAAAATGGGGTTGTTATGAGGGTTAAATGAGATGTTGTAAATTAAGCTCCTAGCACATTGATAAATGTCCAACTTAATGACCGAAACACTTTTCTCCTATGTGGGCCTCCTCAGTTTCCTCATTGATTCATAAATATTACTGAGCACCTACTCTCTGCCAAGCTTCAGGCCAGGCACTGGGGATACAATGATGGTTAAAACTCAGCCCTTTAATTTGAGGAACACGCGTAGCGGGGAGACAAAGATGAGCACGCAGTACCACCCAGAGAAACGTCTAGAGGAGAGCCAGATTAGAAACTTCGGAGACCCTAGATGCTAAAAGGCTTATGGCACTTCTCTGTTTGTTATTTAAAGTAAAAATACCAAAAACAAAAATGGACTGGGGCGCAGAGACTAAAGGGAGCATCTTCCTGGATTTTCCGAGGACCAAATTCCAGGTAAGTTCATTGAAGCCAGATGCTGCTCACGTTTTCGTGTTTAAGCCTTAATGACTCCTTAAAAGGTGCTCCGCGTGACAAAGTCAAAGCAAACAGCGTAGACGCGCCGGGTGGTACCCAACCCTGATTTAGCGCGTCATCGCTTTTGAAGATGACGCTTAAAGAGTCAGGCAGGTGAAGGGAATGGGGAAGACAGCTGCTGATAAACCAGGAGTTTGGATCTGATTATTTCTAAGGTCTAGGGCTGTATATTCTCTCCTTTGCTCGCTCGCTCATTCATTGTAAACCAATTCACATCATTTGGAAAGATCAGAATATTATCCGTGTTTCTGAGACGCAGCGGCGAGCTCACGTCCCCAGACAGCTCCACTCTCACCATCACAACTTGCTCGAGTTCCTCACCCTCGTGGCTCCCGCTGGAGCCTGAAGCTCCGATCACTCCCAGCCACTCCAGCCACGAGAGCCCCGCCAGGCCTGTCAGCCTTGGCATCCGCCACTCCCTCGTGCTTGGTGAGCTCCTATTCATCCTCCAAAACCCAATTTAAGGCTGTTCCTATCTGAAGTCTTCCCCGAGGCCCCAGGAAGGTCGTGCCTCATCCCAGTGCCTTCTTTGGACATCCTTCTATTGCGTGTGTGTGCTTCACAAACTGTCAGCTCCGAGGAGCAGGTCTGAGGACTCTGCATGACCGGTGCCCAGCGCAGAGCCCTGCACAGAGCAGGACGGAGGGCGGCCATTGCACAGATGAGAAAAGCAAGTCTGCTCTAGATAAACTGAGTCGCTCGGGGACAGTCAGGTCCCCCGAGTCACCCAGACTCGGAGCGGAGACCACCTTCTCTGCACGCAGCGCCCGCCGAGCCCGCGCCACTGCGGCCGGGGGACTGGAGGCCTCGGTAGGGAAGGAACGGACGCAGAGGGCGCGGGAGGCGCGGGGACAGGGTGGCCCGGAGAGAACCGGGCTCCCACCGGGCGGCTTCGGGGAGCGCCTGTGACCCGGAGTGGCAGCCGGGGACTCGGCGGTCAGGACGCCCGGAGTCGGGAGGAGACGCCACCACCAGCCAACAGAGGGCAGTTCACAGTCACACAGTCACCCTCGCAGAGACAGAGACCCAGGGACGGTAAGGCGAGCCCCTCCCCACAGCCCACCCGCCGCTGCTTCCTTACCAGGGAAAGACGGCCATCTTGCCGGTCACATGACCGCGCCTTCTGGGGCCGCCGGTCCTGATCTCCCTTCCAGGCCCCGCCCTGCCCCGGCCGCCATGATTGTGAGGGGCAGGCGCCCTCCCGCAGAGCCCACGCCGCGCCGCCCGCCGGCGCCATGATTGAGAGGGGCAGGCGCCAGTCCGCAGAACCCAGGCTGCGCCGCCCGCCGGCGCCATGACTGAGAGGGGCAGGCGCCCACCCGCAGAGCCCAGGCTGCGCCGTCCTCGGCGCCATGACTGAGAGGGGCAGGCGCCCTCCCGCAGAGCCCAGGCTGCGCCGTCCGCCGGCGCCATGATTGTGAGGGGCAGACGTCGGTCCGGGAGACTGGCCGCCCCGCTTCTGTGCGCTGTGATCGTGAAGGGGGCTTCGCCGCCTAGCCCATCCGCGCCCTCGGAGGGCGGAGAAGAATCGAGACATGGGCGGAGCGAGAAGGCCAGCGGCGGCTGCGGGTGGGAGGGGTGTCTCTGGGGCTCGGCCTGCGGCGGTTTCGCGGCGAATTCGCAGTTTGACTTGGGGAAGCCCCGCCCCGCCCGCCGCTTTCCCCTCTGTGCATCCCGACGTTAGGCGCTTCCGGCGCCCCCTCTGCTGCCTGCCCCGCGGGTCTCTAGACGCCCGCAGTGGCCCTTAATAGAGAACGCATTCCAACTCCGTTTGCTTATTTTTTACATAACTATTACTTTTAATTTGGCGGGGGGTGGGGGGGGACACGTGTGGTTGTTCATGGGACAGTGACACCTGTTAGAAAAGATCTTCTCCAGAAGGGGTCCTTGTGTTCAGCTCAGTCTGAGTAATAAGGAGTTCCCAGTCGTGTCCACTATTCCCAACGTGAGATGAACACGAGACGAAGGGCGGCCACAGGGAGGTGAGCGGCTCTTCCCACGCTGCCCAGCAGATTATCACATGCAGTGTCTCCTCAGTAAGAGGTGAAAATGAGCTTTTTACTATACTCACATTAGATGATTAGGCAGTAACGAGAGATGGATTTTTAAAGCTGTGCAAACTAGCAGCTTTGAGCTTCAACCTTAGCATTCTCTCCCATACGCTTCTAGCTCTTAAGAACCTAAGACATTTCCAGCTCTAGAGAATTTTACCTGCTGAAAAGTCCAACTCGTGCAAAATCAAATGCTGGACTAAGCATTGGTATAGGTTACATATTAAATAGGAGGACGGACATACCCTTCATGGGGCTTTTAATGGTAAAAAATGATCATATCACAGTATTAACGTTTTGGCCAGATACCTTTCAGTATCTATCCCTTAATGGTCCTTTCCTTGGGAAATAAAAAAGATCAAACTAGATTTCCTTTAAGATGAAAAGTTTATTTTGCCTTTTGCCTAGAAGCAAAACTAATGAAAATTAAAGTACAAAAATAAATACAATTTACATTAATGGACATTCCACTCAAAGTAAAAATAACAAAAATAATATATATAAATAAAAATCCATTAAAAGCACAAAACAATGTCTGGCACTTTTATTAGAAAAAGCTGAGAACATAAAAAAATGTGTAAAATACACGTTTTTATCTTTAAATTAAAAAAAACTCAAATTTCTCATCCTTAATCTAAAACTAGTTTTCACCTCCAAAACATACTATTTGTTTTAACTAATTTGTATTAGTGTACACAAAAGTTTTAGCATCTATCTTTCTTACTGGAAAGACCCACATTGATATGGGTAAGCTGTGTCCTGAGTTCTCCGAATGATAAAGCACAATTTATCATATTAAGAAGGTAATTTGATATACTTTGCCTACAAATAAAAAATTGGTAACTCAGATATTTTTGACTGTCTTCCAATTTTCTCGTTCATTCATTCAATAAATGATACATCTGAATGAAGAAAATCAAGTTTACACCCAGAGTAGATTATCTTCTGTCTACAGCTGAATGTAAAAGTTAAATTTCAAATAGAATAGAAACTCAGAGAAAACAATCTTTATCTCCACATTCTTAAAAGGCCATTAAGAATATATATAGTCTGCATTTTCAAAATACCAGTATCTTTTTAAAATTCAAGTTAGAAAGATTAAATGCACACATTTCGATTTTATGTGAGAAGCACAAAGCCCTTTTTGGAAATGCTAAGATAAATTAACAGTAACAGTCTCTTTCATAAAATCATGTTCCCTTGGTAGCATTTTTTGGTTTATGTTTTAAATCAATAAGTTAGTGATGAAAAACCTTAAACATCAGTGCCTCTTAAGTAATGCAGAATTTCAACTAGACAGTATTTCTATCCCATTTGAAAATATGAATTTATATTATATAGCCCTTTATTCTCTCCTAAATCAAGCATGCTAGAAAGAGCAGACTATGAAGAAACAAAATACACATACTAAATAGAAAATATAACTACATGCAACGTTATTCTATTTTACAGAAATGGATGTAATGATGCATTTCTAAGTGCTACTACATTCAAGAAGATTGTGCTGTCTTCTCCAAATCTGTTACCTTCCACAGAAAGATTTTATAATTTAGTAGAAATGTTTCTAAGAGTAACACACATTAACCTAACATTTCTGTAAGACATGTTGTTGAGAGGAGTGTGTACTTGGGAACAAAATGGTGGCCCAGCTAAGTCTATGGTACGTTTCAGGTGGACCACAAACAGCAGGCAAGGGCTTACCCTATAAGGTATACTCTAAGTCCAAACATACGAAGACGGAGAGATTAATCAGTTTTTTTAAAGTTAGAAACCAGGAGAAAACATTCTTGTGCAATAATTTCCCCTCCAATAGAACAGTATCTAATTTGTTTATCAAATTCAGCAATCAGTATGCAGAGATGAATGAAATTTATATTTCAGAACTTATTTATAATTTATCACACATTTTCAATATTTTATAGAAATAAACCCAAATATCCTTTACAAAAAGTTTCTCGGCAGAGATCTGGGTACATAAAACAAAGATGTTTGTACAGGTTAAGCACAGAATTGGGTCAGTTACTAAATACTAATTTGTCTTCACCCAAACCTAATATGAAGAGGAAAATGCAGGTGTGGGGAAGGAATTAGCCAGACTGACCCAAATTATCCAGATACTTGCTCAGCCCTTTGACGTCACCTCGCCTGTGTCACCAGAGTCCAGGGTTGAATAAAAAGTCTTGGGCAGGGAAAAGAATACAGATGATAACCCTTCCCCTTTTTTATCCTAATGAATGTTGTCTTCTTAAATTGTCGCAACATTTGGCCGCTTTCTTTGGATTTTTCCTGCATATACTCCTAAAAAACAGAGCAAAACTACTATTATTTCTCAATGTTAGTTTTTCTATAATGATACCATCTAATGAGAGCTTCCTATGTACCAGGCACGAGCTAAGCAATATACATTGTCATAGTTAATCCCTACATAAAATAATCCTGAGGTAGAAGTTGTCACTACTATTTTAAGGATAATAAAAGTGAGACATAGGAGAGTAAGTCACCTGCCTAGGTAACAGAGCTAGAAGAGACTTGAGAACCCAATTCCACCTAATTTGTTGTTTTACTTAACCGTTTTGCATTACTGCATCCTACTCTGCTTTAATTAGTGGTTTCTGAATCTCACTATAAACTCGAGTCAAGCCCAAAACATCAAATGAGTGAATATGTTTTAAAACATATGAGATCAGAGATTGCAATTTCATTTGTAAAAAACTATAAACAAGTTTAAGTGCTTTGCAGCAAACTTTAACACCTGAGAATTCTACTTCAGTCTAACAGTATGATATTCTAGCATCATAACAAAAATGAGTTTTCTATAAATTGCTTAATAAAGGGTTTGTTTTCCACGTAGATCAAATCGAAGCATAATTTCAGATTTGTTTGAAACATAATCCAGGCCGTTAAAAATCTAAGCAGGAAAGAATAATCTTTTCAAGAGCAACTATGGATCCCTATGTTGGGATCATAGCTAGAATTTTAATCATCATATCCCAAATTTTCAGTCTATGTAAAAGAATAAAATTCTTTAGTCTTTTTCAATTATCTAAATATGCAATCATGTATAAATAAGTCTTTAGAAAAAATAGGAAAGAATTTTTGTACTTGTTTAGGTACATATTAACTGTACATGTTAACTCAAGGGTCAAGTTCATTTGTATTAATAATTATGTTGCAAGGCAATAAAACCACAATAGTTCTACATACTGAACTTCATTGTACATATTAACCGCAATGACTTCCTGTCCATCCTTTACACTGTTGAGTATTAGAAAACAGGAGTTGCTATTTTGCTTATAGGTTCACAAGTGACAAAGAGTGGAGATGAAATGCATGAGAAAAGAACGTGGAGCGTAGTCGCTGTAGAAATAGATAATATGAGGCAAAACAATAGTAATTCTTCAATGATTTGCCAACTAGCTAGAATTTATCACAATATACAACACTAACATGGGGAAAAAATTGAAAATGTCTTAAAATTCCACATAATTTGACAAGCAACAGATCTGGTGTTTGGTCTGAGTTCTTCCAAAGGTTATCTTTCAAAGCAGCTATTCTGACTACCTCTGGAATAAGTAGGATCTTCAACTATGTAATTCCCTTTAAAACAGCCCCACTGACTGTCACTCAGTGACTTCCAGAAGATGCCCTTTTCAATTATCTTCTATATATGCAACATTATGAATTAAATTCACTATCTACATGCAAAAGGTAGCAGTCATTTCAAAGTTATGATCAATATCTTCTTCCCTCTTTGAATTTATGTGAACAAATGGCAATAACATGAAAACATTTCTTAAGTTGATTGCTCCCTCCTAATTTGAAGGCAATCACTTAGTAATAAAAGCTCTAAAATATGCCTAATTGTATATTAATAAGATTAGAATTGATTAAAGATTTAATCTTCACTGCCTGGTGATTAATTTAGGTTTCTTTTAAATGTTTAGAAAGCAATATTGTTAAAGGAAAGCATTTTGAAAGTATTTTTAATAGATCACAATTTTTGGTGAGCTTATCAAAGCGTCTTAACAACGATACCTAAAAAACATTAAAACATTAGCTTAAGGGTTTTGCATTAGCTCAACACTGAATTTGTCTTCTTGCCACCATAAATAGAATTTAAAATTCCATTTTTAGTTTAGCCCTTAAATAATCTTCAATGAACATAAAGAGAAACTTAGCTCAAGCTTCTTACTGAGTAACAAATTAAGGAAAAAAAAAAAAAAGGAAACTAACCCCCTCCCACCTGGCATATTCACACATGATCTTGTGGTCAGAGGGAGAAATTTTTCCATCCCTTATGTGCAGACACAAATATTACGGGATGATACACTTCCCCAAAGCTGAGCAGAGATGCAGAGACTTCGGCATTATATGACTATTACATTTTACTCATTTATACAAAGGTTTCTGAATTAAGCATGTGTAATTCCTCAAATTTTTCAGATTAAAAAATACAGTGTTTCCTTGGAATTATTACAGAAATCAACACTGGAACCACAGTTTTACTAAGATCTCCTGACTGCCATGAAATAGTAACACAAACGATCAGCAGCAGGAATGCCTGTGAATATGCCAAAATCATGGTGGCAAGGAAGACAAGCTCTCCCGCTCGCGTGGCCTGCGCTGGGGGCAGCGTGTGCACTTCCTCCTGTCGGACGGGCTTCAGGAACTCACTTGCTACACACCTGAACCAGGCGCTCTGTTAGGCACTCTGCTCTGTGAAGACTTCTGTCTATTCTGCACAACCCCCTTCACTGATGTCTTAGGGGTTCTAATTGAATATAAAAAAGTTAATAAGTCACTTGCATTAAGGTCTAAAGGTTCAACATTCAAAGAAAGCAACCACAGCGCATCAACCGTTCAAAGCGCAAAGCAGCTGGAGAGCACTTCCGTCCATGCGCGCGCACGGCGAGGCACCTGCGCCTCTGCTCCAGCAGGAGACCACACCCACGGCTCACACTTGGTGAGAGAGTCGCCTTGGTGATGCTGAACTTACTATATGGATGTTTGCGACATTTAATGAGCAAAATGATATGAAATGAAAAGTAAAAACATGCCAACATAAGATGATAATTAAAATATAATACACAACAGTACACCAGTTATCTTTGAACACAAAACTTTAGAAAGATCTTTCTAATGCTATAAAACACATCACATTTGGAAAGCAGTTATCCTTTACATAAAGAGCACAAAATTGTTTCCCCCCCCAAAGCTAATCTTGATGTGAATATTCTTATACGCCCGTGTGTGTCGCAGTCTTACCCTTGTCTACTAAGCAGCCTGTGACCAGGCGCATTCTGTCCTTGGTTTGGCTGAAGGATTCTGTTGACGAAGTAAATAGAAAATTAATTCCACAGGATACATTCAGTTTCTCCCCCATTTTCTTTCAGTAGATAAAAGATGATAGCAGTAAGGTGGAAGTCATCTATGCAATGATACGGCCGATATAACATCACAAAGCAAACTGATTAAAACGTATTAACGTGGTACTTATATTTTGCTTACCAAGAGCCCAAACCATAGGTTTTTATCAGGAAAGAGATGTCCAATTTAAGTATTAATCCTTGTGCTTTCAGATAATATATACTTTACAAAAGCCAACTTTTCCTTTGAAACATCTGAGAGAAGAAACATCACTCTTGTAAGAGTAGGAAACGGGTCAGAAATATTAAGCGAGCTTTCCAAGGTTTTCCAGTATCACACACCCCCTGGCCTGGACTGGATTCAGGACCTACGGGGCTCAAATTCCGCCAGAGACAGCACATCCTCCAGAAAGCTCCAGGAACACCTGGCCTGACGTGTGACAAGGGACACGACCAGGTGTTAACACGGATCCTGACCCTTGGATCCTCCAGCTCAGCAGGGAGTGCTCTATTGAAGTAAAGTAGAACAAAGCCAACATAAAGTAGGCTCGGGACTTATAAGGTTCTTTTCTTCAAACATAGAAAAATAGCCTCTCATTGAAACTAAGTGATTTTTCTTACCTTGTTTCAGAAGGATTTTGTTTAACCAGAAATTTCTTATTTGGCATCCCCATTTCAGCAGCTCTAACACAATATAAAAATAAGGACACACAAATAATGTATTCAGAAACAGGGGAAAAACATGCTTACAAATGTGACACAGGATGACAGAAACAAATCATCACTTAAAGTTGGTGTGCTCCTGAGAGACCTGTGCTAAGCATTCTAAGGGCTACTTTCAAGAAAGAAGAGTTTTAATGAGATAGTTATTAGGATATTCTTTGCATTAAGTTTTCCTCCTATGAAGTCTTTAGGATATTAAAAAAAGAACATACTTGAAGGATATAAAATTAACATTGAACATAAGGATTATTTTTAAGACTGGCTGTTACACAAGTTGAACGTTGTCAGATTTATTCATCTAAAGATGAAATCACATTTTACCACCTGATTTTAATAAAACTCTTTATATAAAAAAGGATTACTATCAGCTCAGTTGCAGAAAAGTTAACTGTTCTTTATTTATAATTTGAATATACCAACAGACCAACAGATGACTAAAATCGACTGGTTTGATAATAATTTAATTAATTAATATTAAATTAGATTAAATAAGCATAACATGAAAAAAACTTACTTCATGAACTTCTTCCTATCAAGAGACTTCTGTGTTGCAGCTGAAAGAGCCACTCGTGGACTTTTCATTTTATCCTTGAAAATACAAAAGCAACACACAGCTCTAGTGGTACCAGTAATACCACTAAATTCTAGCATAGGATGATGTCAGATACATGGAAAAGCTTCTCTTACTAGCATTTTGAATTTTAACTTAGTCTTTATAATTAAAGCAGTCTGGTTTTTAAAAATTAATTAAAATTATTTTTTCCAATGAAATAATATAAATTTGGCTTGTTTTTCTTTTGTCAACCACACTAAGATCCTTGATTCAAACCACAGGTCTGATCTATTTCAAATTAATTTGGAGCCTGTTTTCTAACTCCGATTTCCAAAAAAGGCAACATACACAAGATAGTTTCAAGAAAACTCAATCAGGAGAAGCTGATAGTTTTTTATAAGCCATCTAAGCCACATTCAAAGCATCAACTCCAGTCACAAAACAGTATGTAATTCTTTCATCAATTTCTTTTAAATCTGTCTACGGCTTTAACTGTTGCTGGTTATCCTGGGAATTACCTGTGCTTAAGAATTGTAGGAAGGGTGCTACAAATCAACAAAGAATGACATTTACTATCAGTTACCCCAAACTCAGAAGAACCTCATTGTGAAATAACAAAAAAATATATATATTAGTCTTTGCTCGTGGTTCCTAATAAAATTTGGTCTTTGACCTGGGTCCCTGATCCAGAGCTCCTAAATCCCTAGGAATTTCCTGGGTGATAGGAGCATCTTTTATTCTAATGAGGCAACTTTTGCTGGCCTCCCAGATGGGGGCTATTCACCAGAAAGACTACGCACAATTGGAAGCTGGGAACTTTCAGCCTCAACCCCTTATGTTCCAGGGTTAGGAGAGGGGCTAGAGACTGAGTTAATGATCCATTATGCCCATGTAATGAAGCCTCATAAAAACCCTTGAGTATAGGGTTCAGAGAGCTTCCACATTAGTGAACACATCCATGTCTCAGGAAGGTGGCGCCCCCAACTCCATGGGGACAGAAGCTCCAGCCCTCGGGACCCTCCGACCTCACCCTCTGCATCTCTTCATCTGGCTGCTCATCTGTATCCTTTGTTATATCCTTTGTTATACAATAAACCAGTAGATGTAAGTGTTTCCCTGAGTTCTGTGAGCCATGCTAGAAAATTACCTAGCACAAGAGGGTCATGGGAACCCTGATTGATAGCCGGTCCGTCAGAAGTAAAGGTGACAACCTGGGACTTGCGAGTAGTGTCTGAAGTGGGGGCAGTCTTGGGGGACTGCTTGCAGGATCTGACACTATCTCCAGATAGATAGTATCAGAACTGAACCAAACGGTAGGACACCCGGCTGACGTGGGAGAATTGGTCGGTGTAGGGAAAAAAAACAGTCATCTGGTGTCAGAAGTATTCTGTGAGTGTAGAATAGAGTTTTTCTTTTTCACCCATTCATTTAAAAATCCTAGAACGTACCAATTGCCTGAGCATTTTCTCTTTGCGAACTTCTCGATCGTGATGTAGAATGGACATCCTTTCAGCTGCATCCATTACAAAGAATATGTCATGAATACCGTACAGGGCAGCTCGCAACTAGGTTCAAAAGAAAACATTGTACCCATTTAAAAAGATGAGGTTAGGGTTCAGTCAGTTTACGTACATTTTTATTTAGAGAAAAAGGTTAAAGTTTCAAGTGAAACCTATTTTCAGTGGCTAAGTGAAGGGAGAGAAAACATTTCCCTTTCCTGACGCCTTCGGGACGTGTGCATTTACCTGGGCAAACACTCTCTCCTGAAGAGAAGCATCTTGCGCTGAAACGACTCCTCTCTTCAACGGTGCTTCTGACTGAAAACTTCTTATGAATTCCATAGTATCCTGGAAGAAGAAATGTGCCTTTAAAACCATTTTTCTAGAAAGATTCATGATCACTTGAGTTTCCTGTGTTCTTTTTCTCAGTCATTCCAAAATTACTAAGAACACAAAACTATTACCTATCAGAAGTCAAACAGCGCCCACTTTAAAGTGAGACAAAAATATACAACTTTATTTACATATTTTTTAAATTATCTGAATGAGCTTCATAATCAGATTTCTAAAACTTCTTAAATTACAGTGACTAAAAAACGTTTGATCTGGGGCCGGCCTGGTAGCATGGTGGTTAAGTCTGTGCTCTCTGCTTTGGCAGCCCAGAGTTAATAGGTTCAGATCCCGGGTGCGGACCTACATGCCACTCATCAAGCCATGCTGTGGCGGTGACCCACATACACAACAGAGGAAGACTGGCACAGTTGTTAGCTCAGGGCCAATCTCACCAAAAAAAGAAAAAAAAAAGTTTGATCTGTCTAAATTCTGAACTTATTTGTCAACTCAGCTGTCATAAGACTGAAAGAAACTGAGACAGGAGGGAAATACAATGATTTACAACAATCTCCTTACTTTCACAGTTTGTCGGAGTTGCTTTAGCTTATCTGTCTGCATGAGCCGACGAGTAAGAAATCCTTTAGCCACTGCGGTGATTTTGCTAAATTTTGCTTGTACTTCTGGACTGAAACCCTAGAAGAAATAAGTTAGACACAGTCTTTTAAGAATCTGAGCATTATACTCAAGCTTGTTTTTCTTTCTATTACAATGAACTCAGTTCTTCTACAGATTTATGCTCTGTGTAGTTTCATCTGTAATAATATCTAAGCTATTTGATGTATGCAGAAATATTCATGCTCATTTGTAAACCTAAGATAATGTAGCTCTAAAAAAATTAGATCGACAGATAGACAGAAGACAGACAGACATACATAATACAGCATTAAGTTTGCCCACCTGAGACCATTTAGGTTTGGCCCTTCCAAAAGGCCTTGTTACTGAGAGTTTGGTCAAGCCACTTGTTGATGATGCCCAGAGGTAGAACGGCGCTTCACTTACAGAACCAAAGCTGTGTTGTAGGGCAGAATTTGTGAAACCTAGAGAAATACACATATAGCCTTATGCAAAATAATCAGAATATGCAGAACACCCAAATAAACACTTATGCCACTCACTAAGAACAACAACTGCCTCTGAAACTGGTCCACATGAAATATTTATGGGCTTTAAGCTTAGGCATCAGATGGATCTTTTCAACACAAACAGCATCTCAGGATAATTGAAGATGTGAAGATAAGCCCTTACTGGGACTGGGGAATTAGATGTAATTCAAGATCACCTGGGAGACAGCAAACTGTGTTTTCTCTCGAAGCATATCACTGCTGCATGAATGAACACCGCCTGGGCTCTGAGTCAAATTTCCTGATATTTTCCCTGCTAAGGTGCTTTTCTCATGAACACCTGCTCGCCGGTTTGGGATCGGTTGCTATCATTTCATTTTTCACTAGTTAATCAGCAGCTGGCAAATAGCAGTGGGCTGGACATGGAATTACTTAAAGACAGGAGCTACAATTTTAAAGTGTGCCAAATAAGATAGCTGACCATAGGATAATTTTTTAAAACGGAAAAGGATTTTTAAATATTTACCAGAACTATTTGAATTTGAAGTATGGAGTGAGTCCACTTGAGACAGCATTGTATCTAGCAAACCAGAGTCATTTATTTTTCTCCATTCTAACTCCACCGCATTGTTAATATCCAATTCAGATGTTTCTGCTGCAATCACCTTCTTCTCTTTTAACATCTTCTCTTGTTCTTCTATTTCCTGTAGATTAACAGCGCACTATAACATCCTGGATCTTTGGTTTAATTATATCCCCAAACAGTATCATTTTAGGCTTAGCTAAAAGTATGTGTAATTATAAGTAAATTATTACTTCAAGTATTCCTCCCTCAAATAAAATTGACAATTTATTTGCTTGTAAAATGTGAAATATTAAGTATGATACTCTTAGAACAAGTGTCCTTCCTTTTACAATACACTCTTGCAGAAGGTATATTTCAGCATCTATTTATAAAATACTTTTTAAAAGTATTAAAACTTTTGGGGCTGGCCCCGTGGCCGAGTGATTAAGTTTGCGCGCTCCGCTGCAGGCGGCCCAGTGTTTCGTTGGTTCAAATCCTGGGCGCGGACATGACACTGCTCATCAAACCATGCTGAGGCGGCGTCCCACATACCACAACTAGAAGGACCCACAACGAAGAATATACAACTATGTACCGGGGGGGCTTTGGGGAGAAAAAGGAAAAAATAAAAAAAAATCTTTAAAAAAAAAAAATTAAAACTTTTAAATCAAGGATTCAATAAAGTATTCTTTTGATAAATTATGCATTCATTTCTAGATAAGGATCTAAATATTAAACTTCACATTCTGGCAAGAAAAATACTATCCATGTATCAAAATCAATAAGCCCCTTAGATTAAAACATACAGGGGAAAAAATTACAAGTATCCAATATGTCACCAAAAGTCACAGGCATGCCCAGCTAGATTCCACCTACCAGCCCCACGTGCCGACACGGTACTTCCTCACCTTCTGCAATCTCTCCTGTTCCCTTTCCTGCTCGGCTATGAGGAGCGACAACTGCTGGGCATGCTGTTCTTCCAGTCTCTTCCGCATTTCTTCAAAAGCGAAGATCTTGCTTTTTAATATCTCCTCACCTTCTGCAAAGAAACATGCCCCCTCCAATTTAGAAAATGTACTGCACGTCTAACGTCTGATGTTTTATACCATCAATTTACATTATGCACGTGACCAGAGAGTATCCTGGATCTGACACGATACAATCAAGACAGGCAGGTCCCCACTCGGAACCCTTCTCCTTTGCCACTCCTCTTATTTCACGCTGCCAGATAAAGGCCAGCATGTCATCATCCTCACCCACTCACTCAACAGATCCCAACCTGATCTGAACTGATGGAGCCAACACTATACGTTCAGTCAACATTCTCCTTACTCCACTCAACTTCAAGACGAGACTCTCGTCTGCATCTCACCTCTAATTCTTCTGACCCCTGTCCTTCTCCAGGATCTCCGGTATTACAGCGTGTAGTTTTGCTCTATGTTGATTTTTTAAATAAATGTTCTTTTGATAGTGTAAAGCTTCTCAGTTTGAGGTTCCAAAAAAGACTGGATATTAAAATTACAGATATTTTAATTACTAAAAATTTAAGTGATTATGACTTGGCAACTTACTGAGTAGAAAGTGGTGAGACCCTTTGAGATGTTGAAATACCAAGTATCACACAGATGTAGCTCACGTATATTTATGGATCCATTATAACTCAACTAAATCCAAAGAATCATTCCTTCCAAATATACGGTCAACGATTTTCGTTGAAGAGAAGTCTATTATATTGGTCCTACTGCCACGGTATTCCACAATTTGTTCCTAAATACATTTTATTCAGTTCCAACAATCTGCATTTGTTCCTGCGAATTTTTCACAGGCAAAGCGGGCTGGAAAAGCAGGAGTAGAATGATAACCTTCAGCAAGAAAGGAAAAAGCCCCTCAGCTCCACCACTCACTGATGGCAGGAGGCCACTCAGCTCTGCCTTAAGAACTTGATAAACAAGCACCTGTCCAGGGACCCCCCTCCCGAGAGGGGTGCCCTGAACCACAGGCTGCTCTCAGCACACTGCACTGCCTCCCTGCCCACTTTGGCGGCAACCTGGCTGCCTCCAGGACTGGCCCCATCTCACATGCACTGGCCTTGCTCTTACTAAAGCATGGCCAGAACTGCCACTGGGCTGGTTTTGTGTGCTGCTGGTACGCACTGAGACAGCCTCTAGCCATGCTATGTTGTCTACTTGGGAAATCCAAGTTGGCTCCCCAAGTATCACCTGTCGTTTTTATTCGAGTTCTTATAAAGTTGCACAGGTTTTAAAGGGTCTGCCTCAACCCCATTTTTCCTATAAACCCTGTTATTTTTTGTGTGCAGTTTTGCAGAATGTGAAAGTTTTTTTCAGGAAGATATAAATCACAGTAGAGCTGAAATGTCTGTCTAAGAACTTAATTTACTCAATTTATATGTCTTCCATATCAGTAATGAAGAATGACGAACTGTGACAACAAAGTAAGGAGTAATGAAGAAAAAAGACATGTATATTAACCTGCTGTTAATATAACACTAGATGCAACAGAAAGAAATTTGCGATAATTTATATCAATAAAGACACTGTTCTTGAAACACTACTCACAGAACCTTATTTGTGATATTTTCTCTAATAATTTGATGTTAAAGGGTTTACTGAAGAGCCAACTACATGAAGATTTCATTACAAGTGAAAGGACAAACAGGAAAATATTAGACACCATAGTTCAAATGGAAGACATCGTAGCAATACACTGGATTAAAACTATGAGTGACATTTCAAGCAAGAACGCCTTCCTCTAGTCATTAACAATACTCTCCATGGGGCCCGGCCCCATGACTGAGTGGTTGGGTTCGCGTGCTCCACTGCAGCAGCCAGGAGTTTCGCCGGTTCGAATCCTGGGCACAGACATGGCACTGCTCACGAGGCCATGCTGAGGTGGCATCCCATATGCCACAACTAGAAGGACCCACAACTAACAATATACAACTATGTACCAGGGGACTTTGGGGAGAAAAAGGAAAAAATTAAAATCTTAAGGAAAAAAAATACTCTCTCTAATACCAAGTGGACGTGAAAGATTCATAATTTATAAAAGAAAATCCTTTAAGAAAACCTATCAAATGTCAATAAACTGTAGCTAATTACACACTCTCTAAGATAAATGAAATTAAGTACCCTGATGAACAGATGAAGATAATTACCATTATTTTGCAAAATATCAACTAAAAGTATTAAATAAAGGTGCCATCTGCTAGGCAGGTAGGTATCAAATACTTCAAAGTTTCCTTACCTTTGAAACTACTTTCTATCATTTTATTTTTGTTGATGTAGACAGATCCCTTAGGGTATCTTTTTTCTGGCAAATGTTGCTTTTCCTGTTCAGCTATTCCAGCTGTTATGACATAAGGGCAGTTTTCTTTTTGCAAACTATCAACATCTAAATCAAGCCTCCGTTTAACTTTCTCAAAACTATTATGCAAAAGTTGTTCATTTCCACAAGACACTGTCGGGGTGTCCAGCTGCTGTCTGGTATTCTGGTTTTGCATCAGTAAAGGCGATGGGTTTTTTACATCATAAGACTTGTTCAGTTCCATCTGTAAATTGCAGTTTTTCCCTAACGCACTGGCTGATTTGAGCCCACTCGTGCTTCCAAAGTTTTGACTCGCTGGACACTGACTGGTGGCATACGGCTCGTGCAACCTTGGCATCGCAGTACAGCTACCGTCCATTTTGTGTGGTCCTCCCCCATCAGATGTTAACTGACCTTCCAGGATAGCAAGTCCATGGATAACTTTATTTTCTAATTGATTTCCCGAAGGCTGACATACCTGGTTTGATTTCCCTAAAACCATTTCCTGTATGGCTTCAGACGTATTTTTGCTGGCATAAACCTTGCTTGGACAAACTCCTGCTAAATCAACCGGTAGTTTTGGCACAGTTTCGGGTACGTTTGTTTTTTCATCGGTATGGTCCACAACTAAGTCCACTGCCTGTTCTCTTCCTTTAGGACTTAATTCACAGGCATTTATCGGGTTATTTATGAGAATATGACATGCTGATGAAGGCCTAGAACGCCTCCGGTGCATTTTGGGACTCAGGCTTGGCTCTGGACTAGGTAATTTGGCATATGAACCAGTAAGACTTTTGAGAACATTATTTTCAGTAACAAAAGAGGGAACAAGTTTAAAATCAGGATCCGGATCAGTCCGTATAGGCAGATCCACTTTAGAAAAGCTCCCTGAAGCTGACGCATTCCTGCTGCCTACCGGAGCGGAAGCACCTTGGAGAAGAACGTTTGACTCATTAAGGCTTGGTTTGTCAGGAACCACTGAGCCACAGTGCCTGCCTATCAACTGGGCCTTCTCCTTTATGCAATCACTCACTTTAACAGCACCGTTTTCTTTGTCTGACTGACTCTCGTTAACACTCCTCTTTGCACTACTTCTCAGACTGCGTATAGATTGTTCTCTTTCTATATATTCCTTTGACTTTTTCATCAGATTCTGAAGACTTATCATGTAGGGATCTGGAGTAACTTCTTCCAAAAGCAATGGATCCTGTGCTCCATTTGCTGGAAAGAGACCATCAGAAGTCGGAGTCTCTTGGGGGGCTGCTGAGGTCTTCAGAGAAGCTTCGTTTTCTGTGTGGCTAATACCTGAACTATCACATGGCTTCAGAGAAGTAAATTCTTCTGAGTCCCTAGCTAAGTCTATCCCATTAGATTTAAATTGGTCCTCATTATTCAATGGCAAAATTCCAGTCATCTTTTCAAATTTTGCTAAAGTAGAGTGTTCAGTAGGGCTTGGCAAGATATTTGGAAATGTAGCAGAAACATTCAAGTTTCTGACTTCTGAATTAGAGTAAACTGTTTCAGTCTCCCATTGATCAAAATCACTGGCATTAGGTGCTTTTCTAACCTGAAAAGGGAAATTTGAAAATTAATATTTCCTCATGGCACAAAAAGACTTTGATTTCATTATTTTCTAAAACAAAATTGAAATTGAAGATTCTAATATCTGACAATATAAACAAACCCCAAGACTAAGAGGACCTTTTTCTATGGTATTCTATATCACAAGGAGCTCAAATCACTATAAAAACATCTATGGTCATTCCGGTCTATTTAACAAAAGATTAAAAGCAAAAAAGGAAATGACGTAATCTGCCACAATTATGAACATATGTCCATGTGTATACACACACACACATACATTCAGATATCCATGTGCAATCTTGGAATAGAAAGAGTTTCCTTAACGTTCTTCTGGTTGTATGTTATTAACGTCACCATTTGTCCCTCCCATGAGAGGTGTCATCTAAACAATTAAATTTCTTACATAAATGATTCCCCCTTTAGCAAAGACTAACTTGCCTAGGATATTGATTAAACAAATAATTCAGTAATAAGACTCCTGCCTCCCACAGGCTTAATCCAAATTTTAACTAAACTCTTTCTACATGATGATGCAAATTTATAGTAAATGATAGCTCAGCCATGTAGCTTCAGTTACTTAAAAATAAGAAAAATTTCAACTTAAAAGCCAAATGATTAAGGCAAATTTCAATCTGATTAACTGATGGTCATTTAAAACAGCAACCTGTTAATGAGTTTTAGAACAAGCAAAATTAGTAAAAAATGTGATATATTAAGAACAATTGTATACCCAAGAGGTCCACCAGAAAAAAAATAAAATTACATCTTGTATCTAAATAATTCAACTTGGCAAAAGAATAAAAAGTGAGCAAGGATGGTTTCTAAAGATTATACAAGCATATATTAAACTGGCAGAAATCATCATCGTATTATCACATGAATATAGACTCCAGAATCCCGAATATTAAAAGATTTTTAGGAGGTTTTGTGTGTGTATTTTCCTAGACCACATGATACTCCTGTTTTACCTTATAAATCCCAAGACACGTAATGGTTTCCAGGTACTAGGCAATAAGCAATACAACAAGGTGGACTGAGTCCCAGCCCCGGGACCAAACAAAAGGGATACTTAGTTACAAAACCCATGAACATGGTCCTGGAGTTAAGTAAATAAATTATTTCCTTAAACCATCTCACATTTCACATTTGTGATATTCAGCAGCTACATCTTGTGCACCACTAAAATGAGCCTTTGGTTGGTCAATTTAAATAACCATAGCAACAAAAATCTGTCAGAAAATCATAGGTTTTACAGCTGAAACAGACCTTAGAAATCTATTTGTATTACACAAAATTTCTCTATCTGCATAATTCATTCATTTACTCTGCAGTTCAACATTGTACATGCTGTACTAAACAGAGAAAGTCTTCAGACTCAACAACAACCTTATTAGTAGTATATTTGATATATTCCCTCAATGACCAAGAATGATTTGCCATTTTTGTTTCGATAATAGGAAATATCCAGTAAATCAAAAACTCACCCTTATTGTGGCACACATTCTATTTTTTAACCTTAACATGAATAGTAATTAATAACATGCAAATTAAAATCTACTACCCACAGGGAGATCAAGGTAGTGGGAAAGATCCTAAGGTTCACTGTACATGTGCCATCTAGTAATGAATTACACAAACGGCAAACCTCTAAGATTACGAAAAAATAAAAAGATGTCACCTGCAAAACAGTGCTTTATATGGCAGAAATTATTTGTTCAATCTCATTAATATATTTTTCTTTTTAGTGTGAAATGATCCAGACCTTAGAACAAATTGTTTATACAAATTTAAATTAAGCTAAATAAAAATAATTGCAAAAGGTATGGATGTGTTGTTTAAATGGTTTCAATTTGGATCGAAGATGCATCCAGGCAATTTTATTTATCTAATCTAAATTGCATTTGTGTGTCTAAGAGCAGAATTTTCAACCCCAAAAAATTGGAGGCAGTTATTATTTACTTTAGCAGAGTGAGAATAAGGTCATTGAGTCAATAGTCTGATTAGTTCAGGGGTAAACGACAACGGCCAATTCTATCATTCTGTTACTGAGAATTCAATGCTTTTAGAGTCATAAGACACAGACAATAAGCAATTATTATGCAGTGTGTGGCTCCACTGTGCAAGGACCCTCTGACTCAAGTACTGGGCATCACTAACAAGCAAGGGAATTTTCTTTGGAGTAACAAACGTAATTTCACAAATTACGAAGCATCGCAAATTTAATAGTAAAGGACACTGGTAATTAACTAGTAAGTGCAAATATATTTCTGGGAAATTATCATCAACCTCGTGACTTCTTAATTGTCATTTAAAAGAGCATAAATCACACACCTGAACGTTTTCCAGAATCTCCTGGACACGAGTCAGTAAAGCTTTCTTCCTATTAACCTGCTTTCTTGCTTCTACATCAAGTGCTTTCTGCTTTTCTTGTTGCATTTCCTTTCTTTTCTCAATGTTAAGCTGCAAAACATCACAAATATGTAATTATTTGTCATAAATATAAAAATATCGTAAAATCAGGAAGTTTTTAATCAGAATGATTAAAAACACGTACAACAGGTACAACTATCCGTAATGAAAGAAATCTGAACAGTGGCTGGGGGTAATGCCTGAGATGGTGGGATGGGGCATGCGAGATCTTTCTGTGATGATGAAAATGTTGTGGGTGGGTGTGAGTTACACAACTGTGTGCCATATATCAATACTCATGGAACTTGAACACTTAAGATCTGTACATTTTACTGTATGTAATTATTCTCAATTTGAAAAAAAGTTAAAGAAAAAAAAAACCCGTTCACTTATCAAATGCTCTAAAATGGGAGCTAAAATTAGCTCTTTGACCCCTGCTGGCTCTTCACGTGGCAATATCTTACGTCACTGAGTCAGTTAGATCTTCAGCTTTTAACCTTCTAATCAGTATACATTTTATCTCTTTGCTACCTTAAGAAAATGTCCAAAGGTTTAGTGATATGAGAAAGAGATAATATTTTATTTGCCTACAAAATTAGAACACGTTCATTGTACTCTCCAATAAATATATAATGTACCTAAAAAACTGAAGACTTCTAAGCATTATATCTTTTTCTAATGGATTTAAATCTTTTTTTTTTTTGAGGAAGATTAGCCCTGAGCCAAATGCTGCCAATCCTCCTCTTTTTGCTGAGGAAGACTGGCCCTGAGCTAACATCCATGCCCATCTTCCTCTACTTTATATGTGGGATGCCTACCACAGCATGACATGACAAGCGGTGCTATGTCTGCACCTGGAATCCGAACCGACGAACCCCAGGCCGCCAAAGCAGAACGTGTTCAGTTAACCACTGAGCCACCAGGCCGGCCCCTGGATTTAAATCTTAATCATTAAACTTCCTGGAAACTTAAAACTTCCTGGGAAGTTTAATCACTGTGATAAAGAGCCAAGACTTACTTTAGACTACTCAAATGGAAAATACATCATAAAAAGTTATTCCAGGGGCTGGCCCCATGGCCTAGTGGTTAATTAAGTTCGGCACACTCCACTTCGGCAGCCTGGGTTCAGTTCTCAGGCGTGAACCTACACCACTCATCTGTGGCCGTGCTGTGGTGGCAACCCACATACAAAATAAGAGAAAGATTGGCACAGATGTTAGCTCAGGGCCAATCTTCCTCAGCAAAAATTATATATATATATATTCCAAACAAAGTTACAACATATATCTATCAAATACAACATAAAAACATGGATTAAGGTCCACAAACATCAGATTTTGCTTATAAATAAATAACTGACGGAGTCACAGACCCTAAACAATAAGGCTCAGACCTTTGATCCATATTAAACTAATCAAGCAATATGTCATCAAGTAGCTGATAAAGACGTTTTGAAATTTTTTCTGGGGCTGGCCTCATGACTGAGTGGTTAAGTTCACACGCTCCACTTCAGCAGCCCAGGGTTTCACCGGTTTGGATCCTGGGCGCGGACATGGCACCACTCATCAGGCAATGCTGAGGCAGCGTACCACATAGCACAGCCAGAGGCACTCACAACAAGAATATACAACTATGTGCTGTGGGGCTTCAGCGGGGGGAAGAAGGGGGAGGAGGAGGGGGAGAAAAAAAGATTGGCAACAGTTGCTAGCTCAGGTGCCAATCTCTAAAAGATAAAAAAATTTTTTCTTATTTGCATGGTACCAAAGAATCACTCCAAAGTTTACTTGCTAATCAAAAAGGGGAAAATGTATACCTTTAAAAAGTCATTTGGCAGTCACAACTGTAAAAGCACCTGCTGAAACTAAGCAGCACTAATAGAGGGACAACTAGACATCATAACTTCTGATTTAATTTAATATGAAGTACCTGGCATCATCTCCAAAGAATTCTTGCCAAAAATGTTCAACTTGACTCTAATCAAACTTTCAGACTTTATTTCCAGTTTATAGGAAGTACAGGGACTAAAGGACAAGTTAAATATCACCATGAAGAAATAATAATTAGACAAATCCAAAATGTAAGGCATTCTACAAGAATTTGTAGAATTTGGTTTGGTCTCTTTAAAAATTTACTGTCATAAAAAAATCTTTTTAAGAAATACAGGAACTGTTCTAGATCAAAAGAAATTAAAAGAATATAACAAGTGAACGCTATTTGTGAACTTTGGATCCAGATTAGAAAAAAACAGTTATAAAAGACATTTTGAGCACATACGAAGAAATCTGAACATGAACAGAATATTAGAAGCTATTAAAATTATTATTAATTTTCTTAAGGTGTAATAATGGTATTGGGGCTTTATGGAGAATATCCTTATTTTTAGAATATGTATACCAAAACATTTAGAGAAGCGTCATGTATCTGCAATTTTCTTTCTTTCTTTCTTTTTTTTGAGGAAGATTAGCCCTGAGCTAACATCTGCCGCCAATCCTCCTCTGTTTTTGCTGAGGAAGACTGGCCCTGAGCTAACATCCATGCCCATCTTCCTCTACTTTATATGTGGGACGCCTAGCAGAGCATGGCTTGCCAAGCAGTGCCATGTCCACAACCAGGATTTGAACCAGTGAACCCCGGGCCACCGAAGCGAAACATGCGCACTTAACCACTGCACCACCAGGCCAGCCCCTGCAATTTTCAAATAGCTCAGCAATAAAACAAAAAGTATATACATACATACACTGGCATACATATATATAAAATCACAGACACCATGAAGCAAAGATGGCAAGATGTTAAAACTGTTTAATCTAGATGATAGATACATGGGTGGTCACTGTACTATCCTTTCAACTTTTCTATATGTCTGAAAATTTCATTACAAAAAGGTAACATAAAATATTGATTGTTTAACTCTGATTATATAAAAAAATTTTAATTCTTTTTTCAATAATATTAATTTTCTGATTTGAAATAAAATCACACAGATTTAAAAAATATTCAATTAGTATCAAAGGGTATATGATGAAAAGCCTGTCTTCCCTCTCATCCCATGTTTGCTCACCTCTCTCCAGAGGAAGAATGTAATATGCTTACTTAAATCCAAAGAGTGAGCACACATTGAGTGCCTCTATGGTCCAGGTATTGGTCTAAGTATTTCACATGTAGCAGTTCCTTTCATCCTCAAAACAGTCCTGTGGGGTAGGCACTATTTTTATCCTCACTTAACAAATAAAGAACATGGACCTGCAAATTCACACACCAGGAAAGTGGCAGAAGAGGGATTTGAAGCCAGGCCAGCAGGCTCCGGCCAGGCTTCTAATGACTACGCCACGCTGCCTCTGAGAGCACACCGTGTGCAGGGATCACCTTAGCTTGTGGCGATCCTTCCACAGCTATTTAGATCTACTGTACTCATTTTCATGGCATCTCTGAGATGCTATAAAACGGACCAGTTAGTTAAATTAGCCTACTGTCTATGGATGTTTAGGTTGTCTGTCAATCTTTTGCTATTTTCTACAAGGCTACTATAACCTCGTACGTATTGCTTCAAGCTCATAGATGAGTATAATTGTAAGATATTCCCCAAAATGGAATTGCCCAGTCAAAGGTTACGTACACTCTGAAATTCTGATAAACATTACCAAATTGCTCACCAAAAAGCAAAATCAACTGATTTTCTCGGCAAAAGTGCATTACAAATAGCTTTTCTCCACAACCTGAGGAGCACTAGGTCCTATCAGATCTTTGCCAATCCAGCAGGTAAAAAATGCTCACTCATTCATGTTTCTTTAATTATGAATAAGGGTGAGGCATCTTTTCGATATTCATAAGCCTTTCTTTTGTTTTTCTGTGAACTACCTTAGTGGTTCACCATAGGAAGAAAGGTTATGTAAGACAGAAGAGAGCGTACCAGTGGAGAAAGCACGGCCAGCCCACGGAAGCGGATCAGCGAGACGCTCTCCGACTGCACAGGCAGGAAGCTCTCTGGCAAGAGGGCCGCTTCTTGGACTCGGGCAAGACTCCTCTCACAGAACTTCTCATAGTCCTCCATCTTTCCACAATCCCACTACAGAGAGAATAACATCACTTTTAATGTACCGAGACAAACAGATCATCGTTATTTGGCAAATTTTGTAGAGCACTGAAATATTCCTAGAACTCACAATTTCTAACACAGGTCAGTGTGTTCCAGAATTGTTTCACTGACCAGGAGCTAATTCTTAGTTATAAGGAAGCACCTTAAGGTCCTACCCAGTTAAGCCTTGCTTCATATTTTAAATATTTCCTAACATTTGTATGTAAATCAATCTTTAAACGTGATTAGTTTAGAAAGGTCCCAAGAACTCACCAGTGAAACTTTTTTAAAGGAAATAAAGTTCTATGCCACTTTACTAACTTTAGATTATAACACAGAATATTGTTTTTCTTTAGCAGGATTGATCTGCACATCACCAGAAAAACTAAATCATACAAAGGTAGGAATGCTTTTGTAGCCAAAAAAAAAAAGAAATAAGGGCTATTTAAATAAAAGAGGATGTTTACTTTTAAGAACTCTTTTTCTATCACGGAGTTCAAAATCTATTATACTTATATATCTTAAGAATTTTCTTTTACTCCATGGTCCCTAGCCAAATGAGTCAGAGGGAGAGAACAGAAAATCTATTGGCTCTTGTATTAATTCTATTTTAGTGTTGAAAATTGAAACCATCACCAGACTACTTAAAACAATCAGTCCAGTAATTTTACAATTTCTGGACAATTGTGATGGTGGCTATGAAAATACATGGTAACCAGGAAGGACTAGACACCACATTCACTCGTCTAGCAAGCATGAAATATTTGATTGTTTGTTTCCCCAGCATTATGTCTGGCATTGTTTCCTTTAAATAAGCAAGGGAAAATAAAGAGAGACATCATCAAAATCATAACCAACAAGGGTACGAACTGTGAAAAGAGAAAACCTAATATAACAATGACCCTTTAAATCTTCAAATGAACACAACTAACCAACAAAAAACAGAGAGGGCAGAGAAATTCAATTCATGATGTGGGATATGCAAAAATGAAATAAGACACAAGATGATACTGTCCTAAATCTCCAAGTACTTACAAATTCAATACACTAAAGTGTCAGGGACAAATGACAGTGCCATTAGAAATGAAGATAAAGTATTTTCAAAATCATGATTAGATTATGAAAAAATATATTGCTAATTTTGACCAAGTGGTAGTTCTATTAATAACAAAACTTCTTCCTACCATCCGATCCATTCTAATTATTTCTATATTCAATTTATGCAAAGTGAGAGTTTAATTTCAAAGAAACGTTCTCCAGACTGTGAGATTACTTTGCAAAACTATATTCATAAAACAAACAAAAGTAAAAAACAAAACACAATATGGTTCTGCATGATAACCATAGCAAGGCCTCATTTTTTAGCCTGGATTTCAACCCACGTTATGATATCTTAACAACCAAAATATGCAGAAGCTAAGATGTAAGAGAAATTCAAAAGACCTCATTTCTGCCAAAATACTTCAAACTATTTTTCACCACAGCCCATGAATCCAGCTTTACAAGGAACACAAATAGCTTACTCATACAATGAATGTAATATAATTCCTATTGATACACAAGCAAAGCATGAAATTCTATTTTAAAGGTCTGGGAAATTTACGGAAATAAAATATCTTTATGGCAATAGTTTTCTTTTTCTTTCAGCAACGTCGTGTAGATATGCCTCATCACTTCACAAAGTTACACTGACATCCCTCAAACAGTACATGCACGTCATACATACTGCAGATGCACAGTAAGAGATTATTACGGCACAATTTATGGCATATGAAAATGCATTCTACACCCAAATATAAGTGCAAATATGGCGATTATGGAAATTACCAAATAATGCTGGAGCGTGACCGGATCCTTCTTATATTTCAGTCTCAGCTTGGATGTCGCCTCCTCAGAGAGGCCGTTCCTGACGAGCCAATCTAAATTAACCCTGCGTCAGTCACTGTCACAGTGCCCTGCTGTTTGCCAATTTTCACAGCACTTACCACTATCTGAAATTATCTTATTTCCTTGGTTTTCGTCTGTTTTCCTCCACCAAAACGTAAGCTCCATAAGCACAGGGACCTTCTGTCTTGCTCACCACTGAATCCCCATTACATAGAACACTGCCAGCACACAGTCGACACTTGATAAAAGTACTGAATAAATGAATTAGGGTAATTAGCTCAAACAAGAATGTAAACCAGGAGAAAAAAAGAGAGTGGACTCTAGAGCAAAGAAGCTAGCCAGGAAGAAGGGAATTCAGAGAATGGTAGTTTCATGGAGGGCCCTATTCTCAGAGAAACTGGTACCTCTAAACTGCAAAGACAACCATTAAAAAAGTGAGCATCCACATCCTATATGATTAAGCACAGGGCCCTTCGTTTCCCACACCACAATGACCTCTGCCAGCAGGGTTTTATTTCAAGGCAGCCTTGACTACGAGGCTGCTCCAACCACGGGTCTACTGCCCCTACTTTACCATCAGGCATTACTGGTCCACTTGAATTAATAATTTGTCAGCTGCATCAAGTTCGGACATGCCTTGTCTTCTCCATTTATACCACGACCCTTCTCCAAATGAGCCTCTTTACATACCCCACAGACTCATGGTCCTGCTCCCCGCTCCTCACCGGTGTTCTACCAGAAATATCACTGAAGGGAATGGAAAAAGTAACACAGAACACATGTGGCCTTGTTTTCAGATCCTCGCTGGCTGTTTACGCATCAGTCTTCCCAAAGACATAAACGTCTTATAGAGGCAATAAAGGGGAGGTTTCTTATTCAGGCATATACCAGCTGTATGTTCTTAGCAATTCACTTACCAGCTCTATGCCTCAGTTTCCTCATCTGTAAAATAGGGATAATCAGAGTATCTGTCTCAAAGAGATTCTGTGAGGATTCGATGAACTAACACACGTGTGGCAAATAGTATATTGCAGGACATGCACAAAGCATCAATAAATGAGGCTGCTTTGATTATGAAGAGGAGGATGGTGACGACGATTTTTAGCACTAGATTATGAACTCCTGGAGGGCAGCGACAGTGCTTGGTTCCTGGCAAGATTCAAATAGAACTTAAAAACCTGGAAAGGGGGGCAACAGCTTCCTCATTTCGCCGTTTCCAGATCCCTTCCCATTAAATCAATCTAGGCGCCTGCCATTTGCCTCAGCTGGGGATAGAGAACTGGGATGATAACTAGATAGAAGCAAAGGGTGGGTACCCCCTAGCAGCATCAGGGACAATCAAGAGAATCTGCTTTTTTATCCTCATGCTTATGCCCCAGAGAGGCGCAAAGGCAGGGTAAACAGCGCTCCGAGAGCCTTTGGTTGTGGTAACCGGCGTCCAGAAATGGCCAGTGCTCACCCCGGGGACGCCTCCCTCGCCAGCATCGTAGGAGAAGAAAACGCCCCAAACTGTTTTATCAACAGGAGGTGGCTCCCCGGCTCCGGCCCGAGTTTATCTACCGGGGACCCTCTGCCCTCGCCCCACCTCCCCTAGCTCCTCTGATAAGGCTCCATCCCGGGGGTCCACCCGGCGGTGTCAGCATCCGAGCATCACCTCCGCGCCCCGTGCCGCCGGCCCCCGGGCACCCGCCTCCCGACACCCGGCACCCCAGCACCTGCGCTCGGGCTGCGACCGGAGCCCGCCCTCAGCTCGCGGGCGCCCATTCCGCCTTGCCCGGTGGCCTCGCAGCCGGGACCGGCGGAGGATGGAGCCCCTTCCTCACGCACACACCTGATCTCCCACGGCCCGGTAAGCTTTTCTCCCCTCGCCACGGGCCTTGTCAGGAATCAAACTGCTCAGTCGGTACTGACACAGAGCAGCTCGGTCCACCGCCGCCTTCTCCTCCTCCTCCCCGCCATATTACGGGTCTCAGGCGGCAACGCGGGCTCCTGGCAACCGCCGCCGCCGCCGCCTGGGCTCCACCTCTCAGGGCCGCCACTTCCGGCGGTTGCTTCCCGGGCTGTTGGAACGGTTGGGCCTCCAGAAAACTACAATCCCCGAAGTGCATTGCGCGCCTGGGTACGCGCCATGGCCCAGTGATGAAAGACGTAGTATTTACGGGAGAGCGATGCTTTCTGGGAAACGTAGTCTGCACTGCAAGCCAGCGCCTCTACAGTTATAATTTGTTACAATAGGAGCGTTCACCAGGTCTGAAGCCCCGGAAGTGTTCCTTAAAGTTGCTATTTCTTACCTATCTGTATAGAAATAACCTCTTTCTGGGTGGTCGTTGGAAAACATGACATTCACCTAAATTTTTTCTCTGTAAAGAGAAAATTGCTAAATCCTAGACGCCAACTCTAAGCCTTAAGACATTCCTTACCCTTCTGCAAATCAGTGGGAAAATACGTCCAAGAAGGGTAATAGGTTCAAGACGGCCTAAAAAGCCCCGAATGTTTTACCAAAGTTCTGTATCTAAACGACATGTTACCCACTTTCCAAAATGTGATGCAGTAGCCCCTTTCATTTCCTAATTCGGCTTTACCTTCTGCCTCTCTTACTGACCCTCCTTCCAGTGTCTATATTTGCAAATATAAAATTAAAGTCTTAAAAGTGCCTGTCACAAGGGTGGTTGTGAGGAACAACTGAGATAATTTTTGCAGGGTGCCTGGTATATAAGGCCCACTATTAGCCCATAGTAGGAGGAGAAGTAAGGTTAGGAGGATGAGTAGCAGCAGAAAGGTCACTGGCTTAAAACTGAGGTGGCCTGATGTCAGTCCTGACTCTGCCATTTACTGCTCTACTCTCTTCACCTCTCCTGGCCTCAGTTTCCTCATCTAGAAAATGAGGGAATCCTTAAAATCCCTTCCAGCTTTATAATCCGATTGTGCCTTCTTTGCTATGCTCTTTCATTCCCTCAGAATCTGAAAAATCCTTCTAAAGTCGACTGAATTCATGCTCCTGACATAATTCCTACCCCCTGAGGCTGGTGTGAGAATGAGATGACGCATAAAATACTCGCTGGCACAGAACCTGGAATATGGTAAGCGCTCTATAAATGTTAGCGTGCCCCCTTAACACTATTGTTACCCCCCACTCGAATGTAAGCCCCAGGAGAGCAGGGAGTCTGCTCATCCTGTTCCCTGCCTTGTCCTGAGCACCTGGACAGGTGTTTGGCACATCTTGAATTGAGTTGAATAAACAAATAGTCTGAGCGTTCTGCCCCTTCAAGGCTCCCGGGGCACTTTCCTCGAAGGCAGAATGAAGGGTCACTAAGATCCCTTCCAGTCATACAAGATGGCTCTTGTATCCCTCTCCTTCTGGAGTCTGAAAGCCCTCGTTGAAGTCCCCACCCCAGAATAATCCAAAGTCACTTTGGAACGTGAGCCTGGGGCCTGGACCCGCCCGCGTTGCCATGGCAGCGGCCCCGCCCCCGAGGTCTGGCGATCCGCGGCCCTGATTGGCTGGACGGCCGGCTCGCTCCAGGATGCGGCGGCCGCCGCCATTGTGCGGCGCTGCTTCCCTCGGAGGGTGTCGGCTGCGGCAAGTGCCTTGGGCTCTCGCTCTCGCTTCTGCTTCTGCTGTCCGGGGAGCCCGGCGGGTCCGGGACTCCCGTCCGTGCCGGTGCGGGCGCCGGCATGTGGCTGTGGGAGGAACAGGGGGGCCTCCTGGGCCCCTTCTCCTTCCTGCTGCTGGTGCTGCTGCTGGTGACGCGCAGCCCCTTCAATGCCTGCCTCCTGACCGGGAGCCTCTACCTCCTGCTGCGCCTCTTGAGCTTCGACCCCTTGCCCTCCCGCAGGGCCCTGCAGGTGCTCAAGCCCCGGAACCGCGCTTCCGCCATCGCCCACCGCGGCGGGGGCCACGACGCGCCGGAGAACACGCTGGCGGCCATTCGGCAGGTGAGCCCCCCACGCCTCGCGCCCCGCCTGGGAGCTGGACTTCTGCTCGTCCTCCCGCAGCTTCCCCAGTGTTCATCTGAGAGACTTCCCGGGTCCCCATTCGTCCGCAAGAAACACATTCAGGTGGCTCTGATCCCTCTGAAGTCTGGACCATCTCCCGACTTCAAGTATTTATAGAGCATAGCAAATATGTGTTTGCTTACATAATACTTAGATATTTGCTGGGTACCAGGCACTGAGGATACAGTCATGAACAAGACGGAAGGAGGTGCCTGCTTTCACAGAGCTTGTATTGGAGTGGGGGAGACAGGCCTTAAACAAGTAAACACACAAGAAGGAAGCGAAAAGGGTAATGAAGAAATAGAGTAATGGGATAAGGAACGACTGGAGGAGTTATGCTATTGCAGACAGAGTAGTCAGAGAAATCCTCTCGGAAGAAGTGACTTTTGAACCGAAACCGAGATTGGGAGATGGAGCCAGCCATGGACCTGGGGGAAAAGTGTTCCAGGACAAGGGAGCAGCAAGTGCAAAGGTCCTAAGGTGGGAATGATTTTGGAATGTTCAGATAACAGCATGAGGCATATGTGGCTTGACTTCAAGGAACAGAGGAAAGGCTGGTGAATGCAGTAGGAAGTGTGGCCAGGTTAAGTAGAGTCTCATTCAGTGGTTGAGTTTGTTCTCAATGGATCTCATGCACAAGAGCTGTCTTTGCTTGTCCCCCGAATTACCCAAGTCATCTTATCACCTTTACCCCCAAACACACACATTCACCCTCAGATAACCCTGCCAGCAGGACTCTTAATCACTTTCTGCTTCGCCTTGTCACAAGGCTCGCCTGGCAGTCTCCTGACTTCATATGACAGTTTGCGTAGTAAGAGAGCTTTTCAGTTGCTTAGGCACTTTTGCATCTGTAGAAATAGATCTGATCCTCTCATTTCTTTGAGACATTATTTTAACATGGGGTGGGTAGGAAAACTGACTCAAACTATGGCTCTTTCTAGAATTCAGCCTTCTGATTCCAAGCCCCAATGCTGTTTGTCATAGATTAGAATATGTTCTCGGATGTAAAAACTTGGACCGACTGTCCTTGCTTTGTCCAGCTAGGGACAGACAGTGTTGTGAAATGAGCAAGTTACTTAAGCTGTCAGCGTCCCAGAGTCGTGACTAGGGTGTAGCAAGCACGGCACCCAAGGGCACTTCTCCTCACTCTAGGCCCAGCCCCGACCTCAGTTGCCCCTTCTGTAAAATGGGAATAATATTGGTATCCACCCAATAGGTTGTGATTCCATGAGGTGGTCCACATAAAGTGCTTGGCCCATGATAAGACCTCCACAAATGTAAGCTCTTTAGGCCAAGACTCTAAAAATGGCTTGATTCTTTAAAATCATGTAGGTAAAATTTAAATGTAATGGTGAAAATTTATGTCTGAAGAAGGAAGGGGGTCAGGAAGGCAGGCTTTAACTTAGCAGAGACTGACTCTGTTTATAAACCACATTAAACTATCTTATGCTTTTTCCCCTTGATTCTTTGTGAGGGAAGGGAGACAGAGCAGCTTTTCTGCCTTCTGTTTAAAAACAAATCTAAAGGTATTGAAGAAGGTATTTTACATTGTAAACTGAAACCCAGAGAGGTTGGATGAAGTAACAGAGCTACACAGGAGATAGAATTGTCATGACAAGAAAGATGATAATTACCATCGGAAGAAAAGCACATAATTGTCATTGGCTTCCATTTCTACTTACCTTTATGTAAGTTGCCTTAAAGTATAACTCATTGTTAATTGAACACAGGAGGTATTCATAAGTATTTACCAATGGATGTGGTAGTTTGGCCAAGAACATGTTTGGGTGAATGTAAGTCATATTGAATGAGGATGTGTGAATGTGAAATAGACATACACATAGGGTGTTTCATATCCTCTTGTGTTGCAAGAGAATTATAGCTAAATTCCATTCGTGTTCTGTATGTTTAGGTTGAGCATCTCTTTAATGTATGTAATAATGATAAATAAACACTGTGCCAAGTTGATTACTGGTCTTAAGAGGAAATGAGATGTGGTAATTCAGCTTAATTTGACTATAAGGTCATTATCAATGAGCTTTTTAGCCATAACAGAATTTACCTGCTGAATACAGACTACAGAAGGCAAGGTCACATCCTCCCTCTTGACTTCAAAAGAAATTTGTAGTTTATTTCCATCAAAGTTTGTTTTTTGTCCTGTTCTTTCTCCCTTTACATGTTTGCAGCTCATAATTTATATTCATAAACATTTTACTCTGTGAAAAATCAGAGAAGGCATTCTGACAGTGGTAGAATTTCTGGTAGATTATGAAGTAGTTATAGAAAGGAAAACTTGAAAGAAGTAAAATGAATGTGTTCCTCCCAAAACTACTATTGTAAGAAACTTCTCTAAATAAATAAAAAAGATGAGTATGAAGTGTATACTAATAGGTGAATTAGAATCAGGTTCATCTTTTTGCCTCTATAACTGCTAAAGGAAGTTGAATGCAGTCATAGAAGATCGGGTCTAAGAAACTAATATGATGGTTCTTTTATAAAGCTTTTGTTTGGGGCCTTGGTAAACTACACAGAAAAGACAAATAAATGAACTCAGTTCTAGTATGCTTGCTAAAATAGTCCCTCACCATTGTTATATTTTGTGTTGTAGCCAAAGATGGCCCTAATGAATGAAAGTGTAATTGAACCTAATTATGGTGCCAGCATCAAGGAATAAGGGTAGCATTTGTGTTCTAATGAGAGATGCAGGCACTGTGAACACTGAAAATGTGGTCTAGTTTGATGTTACAAAATATGTAACCCATGTTGTTTTCCCACGGCATTATTGTGTCTTTAACTTAGAAAAGATAGATCTTTTAATCTTACAGAAAGACAGACCTTTTAACCAGCACAGATGTAAGCATTATTGTAATGACTTTTTCACTGAGACGTGAGTGTTTTGCTAATCCTCATAGCTTATGTTGAGTGCCAACTCTGAGCCAGGCACCAAGCCTGGTAATTTACATGTATTATTTCTAAATCCTCACAACAACTCTTAGGATCATTAGAG